ACCTGTGACCACACACACCATGTGACACAATTAAGAGACGAAGGACACAAAACACGCACGAGACAAAGGACGTGACACACATCAGAACTGCTCTGCCCGGCACACGGGAATCCAATGATAAGAAGTAAGCCCTTCCTTTGATGCATCCAAATAATCTGTCACAGGATACCCCTTGCACCGGACTAATTGCAAAAATCCCTCCAGGCGAGGCACAGACTTGCACCCACTCCCAACCACTCTCTGGGGCTTTGCACTGCACTTATCTTTCTGAGAGCCGGGGATGTCAATCCAGCTTTGATGCAGAGGAGGAGCACCTGGGCTGGCTCAGAGGTTCCTGCCATCGTCAGACTACTAGGAGCCAACTGCGAGAAAGAAAACCATAAGCAAGACGTGAGTTGTGTGGCATGGGGCTCAAACCCCAGTGATCCCCCTACTCACCAGCACCCAGGCCCTGACCGGAGTCAGACACTGTGGATGTCACGTTCCGGGATACCTGAGTGAGTGAGACACAAAATTAGAAGGCATCTCTAAAGCTGCAGTGGATCCCCGCTCCTCCTGCTGCCTCCCCAACTCACCTACAAGGCTCCTCTCTCTTCAGCTGCTCCCAAGACCGCCCCTGCAAATGACATGGGCAAATGCTCAAACACTCAGCTCTCAAACATTTAGGGATTGCTCACAACGAAAGCCAAAAACCTCTAAACCCTAGACACTGGTTCCTACTCTACCTAGCCGGGACCCTATACACCCAAGCAGGGCATCGCAAGACCATCCTGCTCACAGACTGGACAGCCATCGGCTCCACTGTCTAAGGGAACTGACATGTTGATGGGAGACTCTGAGCAATATTCTATCTACCCACTGATCCACGGAGCAGGGCAGAGCAGTTCCAGGCTGACCCCAAGTCAGACACCCCACACCTGTGACCACACACACCATGCGACACAAAACACGCACGAGAGAAAGGACGTGACACACACCAGAACTGCTCTGCCCGGCACACGGGAATCCAATGATAAAAAGTAAGCCCTTCCTTTGATGCGTCCAAATAACCTGTCACAGGATACCCCCTGCACCGGACTAATTGCAAAAATCCCTCCAGGCGAGGCACAGACTTGCACCCACTCCCAACCACTCTCTGGGGCTTTGCCCTGCACTTATCTTTCCAAGAGCAGGGGATGCCAATCCAGCTTGGATGCAGAGGAGGGGCACCTGGGCTGGCTCAGAGGTTCCTGCCATCGTCAGACTACTAGGAGCCAACTGCGAGAAAGAAAACCATAAGCAATACGTGAGTTGTGTGGCATGGGGCTCAAACCCCAGTGATCCCCCTACTCACCAGCACCCAGGCCCTGACCGGAGTCAGACACTGTGGATGTCACGTTCCGGGATACCTGAGTGAGTGAGACACAAAATTAGAAGGCATCTCTAAAGCTGCAGTGGATCCCCGCTCCTCCTGCTGCCTCCCCAACTCACCTACAAGGCTCCTCTCTCTTCAGCTGCTCCCAAGACCGCCCCTGCAAATGACATGGGCAAATGCTCAAACACACAGCTCTCAAACATTTAGGGATTGCTCACAACGAAAGTCAAAAACCTCTAAACCCTAGACACTGGTTCCTACTCTACCCAGTCCGGACCCTATACACCCAAGCAAGGCATCGCAAGACCATCCTGCTCACAGACTGGACAGCCATCGGCTCCACTGTCTAAGGGAACTGACATGTTGATGGGAGACTGAGCAATATTCTATCTACCCACTGATCCACGGAGCAGGGCAGAGCAGTTCCAGGCTGACCCCAAGTCAGACACCCCACACCTGTGACCACACACACCATGTGACACAAAACACGCATGAGAGAAAGGACGTGACACACACCAGAACTGCTCTGCCCGGCACACGGGAATCCAATGATAAAAAGTAAGCCCTTCCTTTGATGCGTCCAAATAACCTGTCACAGGATACCCCCTGCACCGGACTAATTGCAAAAATCCCTCCAGGCGAGGCACAGACTTGCACCCACTCCCAACCACTCTCTGGGGCTTTGCCCTGCACTTATCTTTCTGAGAGCCGGGGATGTCAATCCAGCTTTGATGCAGAGGAGGAGCACCTGGGCTGGCTCAGAGGTTCCTGCCATCGTCAGACTACTAGGAGCCAACTGCGAGAAAGAAAACCATAAGCAATACGTGAGTTGTGTGGCATGGGGCTCAAACCCCAGTGATCCCCCTACTCACCAGCACCCAGGCCCTGACCGGAGTCAGACACCGTGGATGTCACGTTCCGGAATACCTGAGTGAGTGAGACACAAAATTAGAAGGCATCTCTAAAGCTGCAGTGGATCCCCGCTCCTCCTGCTGCCTCCCCAACTCACCTACAAGGCTCCTCTCTCTTCAGCTGCTCCCAAGACCGCCCCTGCAAATGACATGGGCAAAAGCTCAAACACTCAGCTCTCAAACATTTAGGGATTGCTCACAACGAAAGCCAAAAACCTCTAAACCCTAGACACTGGTTCCTACTCTACCTAGCCGGGACCCTATACACCCAAGCAGGGCATCGCAAGACCATCCTGCTCACAGACTGGACAGCCATCGGCTCCACTGTCTAAGGGAACTGACATGTTGATGGGAGACTCTGAGCAATATTCTATCTACCCACTGATCCACGGAGCAGGGCAGAGCAGTTCCAGGCTGACCCCAAGTCAGACACCCCACACCTGTGACCACACACACCATGTGACACAAAACATGCACGAGACAAAGGACGTGACACACACCAGAACTGCTCTGCCCGGCACACGGGAATCCAATGATAAAAAGTAAGCCCTTCCTTTGATGCATCCAAATAACCTGTTCCAGGATACCCCCTGCACCGGACTCATTTCAAAAATCCCTCCAGGCGAGGCACAGACTTGCACCCACTCCCAACCCCTCTCTGGGTCTTTGCCCTGCACTTATCTTTCCAAGTGCAGGGGATGCCAATCCATCTTGGATGCAGAGGAGGGGCACCTGGGCTGGCTCAGAGGTTCCTGCCATCGTCAGACTACTCGGAGTCAACTGCAAGAAAGAAAACCAGACACCATATCTGAGTAGTGTGACACGTGGCCCCAGCCCCCATGATCCCTCTACTCACTCTCAACGAGGCAGGTCCTCGGGTCGCTGGCTCTGACCAGACTTGGACAGCGTGCTGTCATCTTCTGGGATACCTGAGTGAGCGAGAGACAAAATTAGAGGGCATCTCTAAAGCTGCAGTGGATCCCCGCTCCTCCTGCTGCCTCCCCAACTCACCTACAAGGCTCCTCTCTCTTCGGCTGCTCCCAAGACCGCCCCTGCAAATGAAATGGGCAAAAGCTCAAACACTCAGCTCTCAAACATTTAGGGATTGCTCACAACGAAAGCCAAAAACCTCTAAACCCTAGACACTGGTTCCTACTCTACCTAGCCGGGACCCTATACACCCAAGCAGGGTATCGCAAGACCATCCTGCTCACAGACTGGACAGCCATCGGCTCCACTGTCTAAGGGAACTGACATGTTGATGGGAGACTCTGAGCAATATTCTATCTACCCACTGATCCACGGAGCAGGGCAGAGCAGTTCCAGGCTGACCCCAAGTCAGACACCCCACACCTGTGACCACACACACCATGTGACACAATTAAGAGACGAAGGACACAAAACACGCACGAGACAAAGAACGTGACACACACCAGAACTGCTCTGCCCGGCACACGGGAATCCAATGATAAAAAGTAAGCCCTTCCTTTGATGCATCCAAATAATCTGTCACAGGATACCCCTTGCACCGGACTAATTGCAAAAATCCCTCCAGGCGAGGCACAGACTTGCACCCACTCCCAACCCCTCTCTGGGGCTTTGCCCTGCACTTATCTTTCTGAGAGCCGGGGATGTCAATCCAGCTTTGATGCAGAGGAGGAGCACCTGGGCTGGCTCAGAGGTTCCTGCCATCGTCAGACTACTAGGAGCCAACTGCGAGAAAGAAAACCATAAGCAATACGTGAGTTGTGTGGCATGGGGCTCAAACCCCAGTGATCCCCCTACTCACCAGCACCCAGGCCCTGACCGGAGTCGGACACTGTGGATGTCACGTTCCGGGATACCTGAGTGAGTGAGACACAAACTTAGAAGGCATCTCTAAAGCTGCAGTGGATCCCCGCTCCTCCTGCTGCCTCCCCAACTCACCTACAAGGCTCCTCTCTCTTCAGCTGCTCCCAAGACCGCCCCTGCAAATGACATGGGCAAATGCTCAAACACACAGCTCTCAAACATTTAGGGATTGCTCACAACGAAAGTCAAAAACCTCTAAACCCTAGACACTGGTTCCTACTCTTCCTAGCCGGGACTCTATACACCCAAGCAGGGTATCGCAAGACCATCCTGCTCACAGACTGGACAGCCATCGGCTCCACTGTCTAAGGGAACTGACATGTTGATGGGAGACTCTGAGCAATATTCTATCTACCCACTGATCCACGGAGCAGGGCAGAGCAGTTCCAGGCTGACCCCAAGTCAGACACCCCACACCTGTGACCACACACACCATGTGACACAAAACACGCATGAGAGAAAGGACGTGACACACACCAGAACTGCTCTGCCCGGCACACGGGAATCCAATGATAAAAAGTAAGCCCTTCCTTTGATGCGTCCAAATAACCTGTTCCAGGATACCCCCTGCACCGGACTCATTTCAAAAATCCCTCCAGGCGAGGCACAGACTTGCACCCACTCCCAACCCCTCTCTGGGTCTTTGCCCTGCACTTATCTTTCCAAGTGCAGGGGATGCCAATCCATCTTGGATGCAGAGGAGGGGCACCTGGGCTGGCTCAGAGGTTCCTGCCATCGTCAGACTACTCGGAGTCAACTGCAAGAAAGAAAACCAGACACCATATCTGAGTAGTGTGGCATGTGGCCCCAGCCCCCATGATCCCTCTACTCACTCTCAACGAGGCAGGTCCTCGGGGCGCTGACTCTGACGAGACTTGGACAATGTGCTGTCATCTCCTGGGATACATGAGCGAGAGAGAGACAAAATTAGAGGGCATCTGTAAAGCTGTAGTGGATTCCTGCTCCTCCTGCTGCCTCCCCGACTCACCTCCAATGCTCATCTGCTCCCAAAGGTTAGCTGGATGGCACCTGCAATCCAAAAAGCTCAGTGCTTCATTGCTGATCCTTTCAATACTCGGAGATTACCTACAAGGACAGCTCCAGAGGAGCAAACTGTGTCCGTCACCTCACTGTGAGTTGTGTTCGGCCATCTGAGGCTGCCTACATCTCCTGCAAAAAAACCCAGAGGCAACTGTGAGTACTTAGATACTGCCCAAGAGTTTGCTGCTCCCATGGCAGTTTCTGTCTGACACCCCTTGACCGTTACCGTGACCTCTTACAGGCAGGGTGTCACGTTGGACTGCACGTTAGAAGTCTGTGCACTGCCTGTAAAACAAAAAAACAAGTATGTACACAGATTCACCACAAATACACCGCCTGCAAAAGAGCAGCTAGTTTTGTCCTGCAGTCACTGCTCACCTTCCTCACCGGGCTCACCTTCCCTCTGGTGCCTATCGTCTGCTGGGCTGAGGGCTCTGCATCCTAAAAAAAACCAAAAAACCAAAACTAAACCACCAAACCATCCAAATGAACAATAAACCTAGGGCCAAAAGTCATGTCTTGGCTCTGACCCCACATGACAACCCACATGACTGTGCTCCTCCAGTCTCTTCTGTTCTTCTCTGCTTTACATCCAGTCCCTCTGACGCTGCAAAGAAATGAGTTACCAAAGTCAGCCATATAGATGGAGAGACCTTAACTGCTGTGCAATTCTCATTTCTCCTTAGACAAGCCCTCTGGGGTCCAAAGACAACCTGCACAAACAAACACTGACCTAACTTTAAGGTCCTGCTGTACCGCTCCCATTGGCTCTGGACAAGCCCGCTCTCGTGACTGCACACACACTGCAGGCAGGGGCTGCCTCCGGGAGGACTGGAGAACTGCTGCCCTGAGTGGCTGAGCCTATCCACAGGGTAACTGGAAAGTCTCCTTTCTACTCCACCTACCCCCAACTCTACACAGCAGGGCAGAGCAGTTCCAGGCCCAACACAAACTCCAAGGACACATTTCCAGACAAGTGCTGTGGTGCAACCAGGAGAGAGAACTCTGAGAAAGGAACGACGCCAAAATGGATGTGCTGCCGCACGAGAAGACGGAGGATACGGTAAGACTGAACGGAGGAGGCTCTGAGGAGCCTGAAAAGACACTCTAACAGAATGGCCTGGGACAAGAACTGCCTACCAAATTGCTAAGATGGATGGGAGACAATGCTATGTTCAGAATCTTCTTGGATTCTCACAAGTCCTGGGCGGTTACAAGGGATGACTGCACGGCATGGTCACCGATACAAACTGTAAGGAGGCTGTAAAAGACACCTGACCTGACACTTCTCAGATGCAATTCTGATGCACATCCAAGCTAGCGAGCCAAAGAACGGATGGTATGGGCACTGGGCTGGGCAGTGCAAAGGTTCAAGACCCTAGGAATGATGCCTTGACATCTCAGATAAGAACTTCGAGGGCAGAAAGCAAAGACATGGTGATTATGAATTGTAAGACACGAAACACAGACTGGACAAAGGACATGACACAGACCTGAACGGCTCTGCCCTGCACATCCTACTCCAGTGATGAAAAGTAAACTGCTCCTCCTATGTGTGCCAAGGGCCTGTTAGGGCAGACCCTTTCCCCTCTGCTCATTTGAAAATCCCTCCCTCCTAACCATAAAACTGGACCCAGCTCTCATCCCCTCTCCAGGTGGTTGTCCTCCACTTATCTTTCCCATAGTCGGGGATGTGAATCCATCTTCGATGCAAAGGAAGGATGCCTGGCTGGCTCACAGGGTCGTGCGATCCCTGACTCGCTCGGCTACGAGAAAGAAAACCGAAACTGAGGCAAGAGTCCAGAAGCACATGGATGATAACCCCGCAATTGGCTACTCACCCTCCCCTGAGCTGAGAGGTTCTGGGGCCACTGGCTCCAACCCGAGTTGGAGGCTGCTGCCGTCACCGTCTGCTGTACCTGGGTGAGTGAGAAAAAAAGTTACGTGGTGTTTCTGAAAGTAAGGGAGACCCCAGGACCTCCTCGTTACCTCCCTGACTCAACCTGAATGCTCCTTCTTTGCCAAAGGCAGGCCGGATGGCACCCGCAGCTGGAAAAGGTCGAGCCTTAATTGATGAGCCTCGTAGTACTAGGGGATTACTCACAAGGACAGCTGAAGACCATCAAACCTAATTGGCAGGTGGCTCCGGCCCTCTGAGGCTGCACACATTCTCTGCAAAGTAAAAAAGCCAAAGGCAAATGTATATACTGAGGTATTGCCTGAAAGGATGGCTTTCCTGTGGTAGCTCCTACCTACCTCTCCCGGACCTCTTACCGACAGGGTCCCTGAAGCATTGGACTGTCTGTTAGAAGGTGGCAGAACCCCTGGAAAATACAAGAAACAAAGCACGTGCACAGATTCACCACAACACCTGTAAAAGACCATCTAGTCCTGTCCTGGAGTCAGTGCTCACCTTGCTCACCAGTACTCACCCGGATCACCTCCCCTCCGGTGCCTAGAGCCTCCTGGGACCAGCGCTCTGCATCTGAAAACAAAGAAAAACCAAACCAAACCAACAAAATCCTTAACACATCAAATAAATGTGGAGCTAAAAGTCACATCTTTGTGCTGATGTCAGGTGATGACCCACCTTCTTGCTCTGCTCCTCTGGCCTCTTTTCTGTTCAACTCTGCTTTACACCCTGTCCTTCTGACATGGTAAAGAAACCCTAACCAAAGTCACCCAGACAGATAGGGAGAGCTGAAAGAGTCTCCCTTCTCTTTTAGCAAACCACCCAGGGTCACTGCCTGCAGCCAAAGACTGCAACTGTAATCACACGGAATATCTGGGTAAATGAGAGGAAAACTTAAGTGGCACATCTGAAAAGTCAGTGGATGCCTTCACAGGCATTTAGGGGGCTCCTGGACACTGCTTTCCACCCATACTACCTTCAAAACACCCCTAGCAATTCCTAAGCTGGCACCTGAGCCCTCACTCCATCTCTGGGCTGTAACCCCCCACTGACTACTTGCAAACCTGCCTGTCTGTAGCCATCTTCAACACAGAGTAGCTTCACCTCAGGACCAGATAACACTTGTGAAAAAATGCCAAGCTGCAGTTGAGATGATCGGGAGATCCCAAAAGACGGAAGGCTCCTAAGGAAAAGAAAAAAAGATAACAAATTACAAAAGCACCTTACCAACACAGCACACAAAATTATTAAATTTAAAAACCCTGCATTTGAGTATAATCCTCTTCATTGCCATATATAGCTCTGCTTCTTTGGATGCCAAAGCTGATGCTTCAATAAAGCAGAAATCGCTTGAGAAGTTCCATTCAATAAAAGAACAGGAGAGCTCTTATCCCATTGAAGCCTGGCTGCTGAATGACCTCCCTGGGCAAAGGCTGGGGTTAATATACCCCTGGCGGTGCCCACCTCCCTTCCTGTGAGGCCCCGGGGGAAAAAGAGTAGCCCAATCCAAGACAGTATAAAGGCTCTGGGAGCAGCAGCACCGGTTTGCATCTCTGACTTAAAATCAGGATAGGTAAAGAGCCTGACGGAGAAAAGGACTCCTAACGTGAGCAGGTATTATAGTTGGTATTGGATTGAGGGTTGGTATTGGATTCGGGCAGGGGCTGGAGCGGAGGGACTGGAGCAGAATAGCGGGAGTTGGAGCGGCGGGAAGGGGAGCGGCGCGGCGCGGCATAGCGGGCTGGAGCGGCGGGAAGGGGAGCGGCGCGGCGCGGCGCGGCATAGCGGGCTGGAGCGGCGGGAAGGGGAGCGGCGGGAAGGGGAGCGGCGCGGCGCGGGCTGGGGCAGCGCGGCGTGGCCGCGTCCTACCTGCGGGACAAGGGTGAGCCTGGCGGTACCGGAACGAGGCGCGGAGGGGGCCGGAAGGAGCCCCGGGGCTGCCGGGACCCTCCCGCGGTGCTGGGCTGAGCTCCCGGGGTGCTTCGCGATGGGGGATGTGGAGTGAGGTAATAACGAGAATCAGGAAGTGCTTCCACGGACCCGCGCCCGGTTCGGTGGCTGTGCCGAGGTTTGAACCGGGAAAGAGTCGCTGTCCTGCGGTGAGGACCGGGGGAAATGGCCTTACAATGAGAGTGGAGAGCTCTGCACAGAGGAAATAAAACTCACTGGGTTTAGTAGCTAAAATATCAGGGGAAATTACTGTCTGGTTACAGCAGTAAGCTTCCCACAGCAGTTTCGGGTGCCTGCCTTTGGAGACCGGCCCCAAAGTAGAAACTCCTCTCGACTGCTCCTGAGAGAGGCAATTGGAACTTTAGGTGCTCAGGAAAGCGATTTCCTCTCCTAAGTCCTGGTTCACCTGCCCGAGCACCTACAGTGTTTATATTCCACCTCTCTCTCTGCTTTGCACGTTTGTATCAATGAAAGAAACTTACAAGGTCTTCCTCCAGTCTGAGCTGCATCCTCTCTGCACCCCCGCACTCTCCCACCTGTTCACGTGTGCTGCTCCCCTCTCCTGCGCTGCTTCCTGGAACAGGGCTCATCCCTCGGCACCTTCCTCGAGCGATAATCCGGGTACATCAGGTGCTTCCCCCAGCCCCTGCGAGACGCTCTCACCATCACTGCTTGAGAGATTTCCTGGGATCGACTGCTCCCCTGCAGAAGCTCCCTATAAAAAGTGCCCCACCGAGCACGGCCCGCCCCTTGTCACCCTCACTGCCCACACCTGGGGCTGTCCCGCCCCTTGTCACCCTCACTGCCCACACCTGGGGCTGTCCCGCATGGGAGGGAAGCACGGGTGGAGCCACAGGCGGGCGCGCGGGGAGAGGAGGCGGGGCGAGCCGGGGGGCGGGGTCGGCGCGAGCAGGAGGGAGGGGCAGGTGCCCGCTCCGCTTCCCTGTGGGCTCTGGGGTTCTTTTGGGCTGGTTTTGGGGGACTGCGCACACCCTCCCCTGGTCACAGCCCCGCCCTAGCTCGCTGCACCCAGCTGCACTCCCCGTACCCCTTGCTCAGCTCCGCGGGGATTTGTGCCTCCTCTGAAGGTGGCAAATGTCTACAAAGCGAGTCGGGAAGCCTAAGAGCTGCAGCCCCCGAGCCCCGCCGCGGTTTCCCCGCCGTCACCCGGCACGTCCTGCCCCGCAGCACCGCTCCCGCTGCCGCCCTCGAACACAAGGAACAAACCCCCGTGCCCCCAGCACAGGCCGGTGCCTGCGGCCGGGAGCG